GAACCCGCGACCCTCAGATTGCGAGTCGAGCGCCCTAACCACCTGGCCATGCCGGGCCGAAATTATAAATACCACCAAAAGAAGATCTTTGTATTAAGTAATCTTTTTTGGACTATCACCATGTTTTTTTAATGCACAAGTTTTTGGCTCAATTACTTAAGCCTTCTACAGGTGCTAGATGTTTAGTAAACAACAGGAAAAGCCTGAAAAGAAGATCTTTTTCTGTGAAAAATTGAAATGTATTTACATTTTTCTATTTCTTAATTTTAAACAATTCATCGCACTATATGTTGACGATAATATCTACAGTTAGTGATATGGTAGAGAAAACAGAATATTAACATTTACTTAAAAACTTTTGATATTCATTTAGGAGGTTCTAGAGGTTATGTAAATAAAACTCAAAAACTGTAAGATATGGTAAAGTATTTTTATACTTAAAATTAAAATCACTTTGCACTCAAACTATTCAGAGTCTGAGTGCAGTTTTTGTGAGGAGTTACTGTATGTACTGTTGCATATGTATCATTTCCCAGTCAGATTCCTGGAAATTACAGGAGACCAATGAGAAAGGATTAATGAGCTTACACAAAATAACATTTAATGTTATTCCTGTTATGTAATTCCTAACATGAGAAATGAGTGATCATGTTTTTTCTTTCTTTATATTAAATTGTTTATGGAGCTATACTTTAAGTAAATTACAAGTAGTGTTTAGTCCTATATGTTAAACTTACTCTAACATTACTAATAATTTGTAATAATACAAAATTACTGCATTAGAGAAGGACAAAGCACCCTCACTAAATTAACAAACTAAATTTAGATAATATAAAGAAGATGAAAATCTTTCAAGTCAGTGATGGTTGGGCAAGTTCAGAAAGAAAATGGATGAGACCAATAATATCATAACTGTTGGAGAAGGAAACCTGAACCTTTCAGGTCAGTGGTGGTTGGGCAAGTTAAAAGAGGAAATGGATGAGATGAATAATGTTATTACTGGTGGAGAAGAAAAGTGAATCTTTAAGATAAGTGCTAGTTAGGCAAGTTCAGGGAGGAACTAGATGAGACCAATAGTATCTTTACTGTAGGAAAAAGAAACCTGAATCTTTGAGGTCCGTGACTGTTTGATAAGTTCAGGAAGAAAATGAGTGAGACTGATATCTTTGCTGATGGAGAAGGAAACCAGAATCCTTCAAATCAATGTTGGTTGGGCATGTTAGGAAGGAACTGGATAAGAGCAAAATATCTTTAATTCAAGAAATATAAACTTCAATTTTTCAGTTAAGTGGTATTTGTTGAATCTAGGAAGAAAGTTGATGAGACCAATAATATATTTAGTGCTGGAGATGAAAATCTGAATCTTTCAGATAGGTGGTGGTTAGGCAAATCTAGGAAAGAACCAGATGAGAAACCAGCAATAATATCTAATTAGTGGAACAAATTTTTTAAAGACAAAACCCCATTAGAAAATCAAGAACTAAAAAAACACATCAAACTACTATATAGCTAAGCCTGTTTGAAAATAACAACTTTTATTCACAGATACAAAAAGTGAATAGTACTTCAAATATCCACCCACTAGTGTACTATTCTCCTATGTTTGGTTGGACTAATCTTCAAATTAAAAGGCATAGAGTAAGCTAAGTACTTCACAAGTCCACCATCCTGTGAACTATTCTCCCATGTTTGGCTAGACTGATTTTTGAACAATAAAGTCGAGAGTAAGCTAACTATGTTACATATCCACCATCTAGTTAACTAATCTCCTCTTTGGCTACACTGATTTTTGAACTATAAAGTCTAGAGTAAGCTAACTAAGTCACATATTCACCATCTAGTGAATTATTCCCCTGTGTCTGGCTAGACAGATATTCAAAATAAAAGTCTTAAAGAAATTTAATTACTTCACTTATCTACAGCTTGATGAGCCATTTTCTTATGGTTGACTATACTGATCTTCCAAATAAAAGGACCCAATAAAGCTAACTATTTCATATATCCACCATTTGGTGAAACATCCTCTCGTGCTTCAATATATTTATCTTCCAATTAAAAGGCCTCAAGCAAGTTCTTCACTTATCCACCATATGGTAAACTATTCTCTTTTGATTGGCTAAAGTGATCTTTGAAATGAAAGACTTACAGCAATTTCACTATGCAAGTTCCAATATTTTGACAAACCATGTATTTATGTCGATTAACCATGCACTTTGTGTTCTAGGACAATTCTCTCTTCCCAAGTTCTTTCTCCCTTAGAGCAACTCTGTCATACAGGTGTTGACACACACACAGTAGCCTAAAATAACATAATAAGAGTTTGTTACTTCAACACTTATCATTCTTCTGAAATGTCTACATGCAGTGACAAAACTAAAAATAGTTATTAATACGTGTGAGCTAAACAAAAAAAAAAAAAAACTGACCATGAACAAATTAATGACTTCATATAAACATAGTATTCAAGAAATAAACAGTCTAAATGGCAAACTACCCTAAAACTTACCTCACTTTATTTTGTCATTTGGCCAAATATTATATTTTCCAATACAGCAACCAAGTTCTTTCAAATAAGTATAATCCAACACACAATTCAATTTGTTATTAATTAACCCATATTAAGATAGGCACAAGGTCTTGTGAAAAATTATATTACCTGAAAATGTATTTCAAATAGATACTCACCTTTTCACAGAACTAAAAACTATTATTTCTCGTCACTGCCGAAATGATATTTGCACATGTACTAAGTCTTCAGCAAAACTCCCATGATGTTGATTGCCACAAAAGGGATATTATGAGCAAGATAACATGAAATGCCCAAACAGGACAAAAGAGATGATGGTAGTCTGAATTATCATACAGAGAAGAGAGGGAAGGGAGGTTGATTGGAAAAAACATTCAAACACCCTCTCAGGGAACAGTCTAAGTCTTGGGGAGGAAGGAGCAGTTTGGGAATAACTCAATGTATTCCTGGAGTAAAGAATGTGAGAGGTATCTAAGGCAGAATGCCTCGTACAAGCAAGGAAGAGTAGAAAATACATCTGTAGAGAAAAATGGTGCAGAGAATAGGTTGCCAAAGGTTCAAACAGGGAGTGGGATGGCAGAATAGTAAATGGACAAGGAAGATATCTGACAAGAAAGGTTTGAAAGAGGTTCATCAGAATTGGAAAAAGGAGGATGGCTTGGAAAGAAATAGAAGGTTGTTGACAAATACACAGAAAGACTGGATCAATAATCTCAGCTCAAAGCAGCCACAGAGTCCTGGACTGATGACCAGAAAACATGGCTGTGAGGAGAGTTTCAAAAGAGTTGATGAAGGTATTCCTAAAGTGAGAACAAATCCACTTAAACACCAAAGGATGAACAGACTACTCTGTGGGATGAATCCAGTCTAGGCAACAGAGCTGATCAGCTACAAAATTAAAAGCTCCTTGGACATGACAGACTAAAAACCAAATATGGTGGAGGTGGCAAAAGAGAAAGTATAGAGTCAGAAATCGGAAGTCCCAAGAGCAAATACCCCTCTGTTGGTTGATGGAAGAAATGATAGTGGAGTTGTCAAGATGGATCACAAGAAGAAGACTAGACAGACAGGAGCAAACTCAAAAAGTATCCAACATCTCAAAGATGGTGATATGGAGAGACTGCTCCTCAGAACTCTACTCCACCTGGACAGAGGAATCTGTGAACAGATGTAAGTCTCAGCAATGTGGTGGAAGAGTGATGCCCAAGGTTGTGTGGGACCAAATGAGCAACCATGACAGTGAGAGGAGAATAGATGGAGGAAGAGACACAAGAAAAGACAGAAGCTCTCACACAGGAAGGGTAGGAGACATAAGAGCTTTGATAATCAAAAGATCCATGTCTTGAGATGAAAATATTCCTTTTAAAAGTACAATGACCTAATAAGATATGGGTTAGATTACCATACAATTATTTATTTAACTGCAAAGCTACACAAGGGGGCATCTACACTCTGCCTGCCATGGGGAATCAAGTCCTGAACGTGAACACTGTAAGTCTGTAAACACATTACTGACTCAATGGAAGATTACTGAAATGAATCAGATACTGGCTGGGGTCAAGATAGTCTTGGAGAGCCTGACCAGCCAGCCTAAACAAGATGACTTCTAAAGGATAGAGTTTGTAGCCTTAGATGCCTCTTTGGATGAAGAAAGGAGGAGGCCACATAGTGGAAACACAAGCCCAACAAATGCATCCAAAATGTGAATGCCCTCAGGACTTGAATGAAAACATATGAAACTGTAGCCAACCCAAAGGGAAAGGCCTGAGTGGTTGGACAAACTGTAATGTGAAGAAATGCATTTAAAACATTGATCTTGGTCATTTTGATAAAAAAAAAACTGGTTCAAAGACAATAGAACAATAACAGGTTGTAAATTTCTGTCTTTGTGGGGATGACAAAAGATGGAAGTAAAACCCCAGAGTAAGATCATGGACTTGGTCCATGGCATTCAGAACTAGAAGAAAAGATGCAGCCTCCTTCAGGTGCTGAAGACACAAAGGATCTGAAGGTATGGAAAGAGGAGGCTGGGTAAGGAAAGATAGAGAAATCCTATGAGAAAGCACTTGTGTGACTCGGAGATCTTCTGCAAAGGAAGGCTAAAGATACATAAAGCAAACTCCTACCAGATCAAAGCTAAGATGGTGGCTCCAGAAACAACTCATCTCTGCAATATAGAATGCTCAGCCCTCCAAGAGGAGTTTATGTAGGAAAGTACTGAAAGGACAAGGAGCAGGAAAGGTGTAACCCCACAACATTCCTGAGGATGAGAAACTTGTTGGAACCCCTTGGACCAAGCAAAGCACAATAACAAAGAGAGCCGATATTATTCTGATAAGTTACCTCAGCTCGTGTTTCCAATGTATAAGTTTGCCTCTGAAGAAGAAAGGTCCACCTTTCGAAAGTGTTAGGGTTATAGGATTTTTATCATATTGTATCAAGACTTATTGAATCTACGTGTTTTTCTGACATAAGGTACTTCCTAAAAAAGTATCATCACAAAAGAAGAGTGCTACATGGAGATCTCCGAGATAAGACTGAGGTAGGCAATTCCAGAAATTTAGGCATTCTGACTAAGTAAATCCAAGAAACAAAGGAACATAGATAACTAGAGTATTGGGAATAATTTTAGAAGATTGAAGCCAAAGTGGAGAACAGGTACTTGCAATTTTTCCCGGTTCAGCTGTTGGGGTAGCAATGTAGAGCCTCTGAAAGAAGATGAAGAATTGTCGACAGATAGCAAATCAGCTGAACAAAAGAGAGACAAATATGAGGAGATTGTTGGCAAAAGCAAAAGTACAAAGAGGAGAAAATCCCCAAGCTGCAAAAAGATGTTTCAAAGGACTGGTGCTCATAGAAGAAAAAAATCATGACCATACACCACAAAATAAGTCTTGAGATATTAAAAGATGAGGCAGTTGGGGCACAGTACAAAGTCAGGACAAAAAGGGGTCAGTATGAACACAAGAAAGAGAAGATAGAATAAGAAGGCTCATGCAGCAAGGTAGCTGGAGATTTAGCAAAATAGAACAGGAGAATGAGAAAAAAAAAATTGTCCATGTAAATAAATCAGCAAAGAGAGAAGAGATGGGGTTATGTGTTCCTGGTTGGGAAGAAAAGAACCTAAATCAAAACTGTTGGTGGAAACATCAGAACAAAATCATCAAAAAATGAGACAAACTCAGCTGAAGCAACAAGTCAGAAATCTTAGATCCAAGAATATAATGGAACCAATTGTGTGGTACACAATAGTGATGACATCATGGATCATTATTGTCTCCAGTCACCACTGAAACAGTAACAGATGACTCCTGTTATGGAGTGTCAGGACCAGGTGAGCTTTCAAAAATGTGGATATATGAATTCATAGTTAAGTTGACCCATGAAATCATTTACCATTTTTAAAGTCTTGTATGTCTTGGTCTGGTATATTTTGAATTTTGTGCAAAGCTACACGAGGGCTATGTGCACTAGCAGTCCCTAATTTAGCAGTGAAAGACTAGAGGGAAGGCAAATAGTCATCACCGCCCACCAACAACTCTTGGGCTACTCTTTTACCAATGAATAGTGGGATTGATCATCATATTATAATGCCCCCCACAGCTGAAAGGGCGAGCATGTTTGGTGGGACGGGGATTCAAACCCGTAACCCTCAGATTGCGAATCAAGTGCCCTAACAACCTAGCCATGCCGGGCCCATCTTGTATGTATGTGGTACATGGGCCTTCATCAGTAACATAGTAAGTAATTCCTGTCAGAGAAACCACATCACAAGCTCTGGAACACATGTCTAAAATATCATAAAATGAGTAAGAGATGAAAGTTCTAACTAAAATGTTTAAAATTTTGTCTTTCTTTCTCAAAGTCAAGAAAATAAAGGGGAAAAAAAGACTATAACTTTCACTGATAGCTGAAAGTTTAAAAGCACAAGTGCAAAAATTCCATTATAATTAGCAATGAAACAAAAATATGTCTAAAGCCAAACAGTGCAGAGGAAAGAATGAGCCTTTGTTAATACACAAAGTGCTTATTAGGTCTACTGCATATTGGTGGAGTGCTATAGTGTAATGTTGATTGCATCATACACTAACACAGTACAAATTAATATATACATCACTGGGAGTTTCATTAAAGGTTTGCAGCAGATACAAAAACATCTTTACAGCAGTGGTTTGAGGTAATAGTTATCAGTTCCATGGATAGGTGACTAACACTTCAGAAAGCTTTCTTAAGCAATTGTTTTACAAATTCGATATCTGTTGTTAAAAAAAAACACTAATAAATACATTTATTAACTTGTACTTGACAGATATTAATAGCTTTACATCTTCCAATCAGTAAAATACAGTATGAATTTGTACATTGCAGTTTGTGTGGCACTGTTTCTCTGAGCTCAGATGAAAACTACTTGGATTAACAAAAGTGTATATAATGGAATCAATATCAAAACTTTACAGTCACTCCAAAAAATCACATCAAAAATGACTTTCAATATTTCTGTAAGCGTTAATTTTTCAAATCACATTATACAAGACATAGTACATTAACAATAGCTGGTTTTATAAAAAATATGAAATAATAACTTTCAAATATAACTTACATATGGAAAACATTCACAATCAGGGAGTCAATATGTAATTGAATTTATTCTGAGGTTATATAATGTGGAAAGTTTGAGAAATGTAAATGCAGTTTCAACTCCCAAAATGAGTGTAAAGATGTTTCCAAAGGTCTGCCCTGCGTGTGAATCCTTTGCCACAAGTTGAACAGATGTGTTTCTTTGGTGCTTTATGCTGATACAGATAATGGTTCCGCAGTCTATGTGTTGTAGCAAAAATAGCATTACAAGTTGGACACATGTAGCACTTTCCAGCATTCGTAATAACTGCAGTTTTCTCCCACCTCATTCTTGTCCAAACTATTATGAGAGAAAACTCATAAGAATTGGAATTTTCAACTTTTATTCTAGTAACTGTGTAAATAATGTTTCTAAAGTTTAATGCCACACTCTTTGAAAAGTTAAGGTCACAAATAACACTATTTATCAACAAGTCATCTGCATTTAGGGTAATTAACAACTCTCACAAGATTTTTCAATGGCTCTGTGTAACTTATTATGGTAAATATTGTAAACAAAAATTTATAGTTTAAAATGTTTAGGTGAATAACATCTTCTTTTATGTTAAATTCTTAGTTTCATCACAAACTGAATGCATAGCTGAATAGCAAGTAAGGGATGTATCTCATATGCTAGAGGTTAGTTGTAGGAGTTATCAGCCAATGGTGATGATCAAAACATCAATGGAGAGAATACATATAAACACTTTAAAAAAAACAATTAGGGAATGTAAACTGTTGGTGTGATGTCACATGTTTTTCATTGAAATTGTGAAATATTTTGTCTATTAAGTAAACATTTCCTACCATCATAAATAGAGTTGTTAAACTCATACATTATAACAAATGAAATGAGTCAAATTTATACATAAGATTAATTGTACCTTACAAGAACAGTATTTCAACCTCATGATGCTCTTGGAACTATTTTATCATTGACTGTGCTCAGTCTGTGGTCCTGATTATAACTATTGCCTAATATGACAATTTCTACTGTAACAAGTTTCTGCAAATAACGATAAAGTCATTCAAATCACACCTCTTTTCACACTTACCACACTCTCCAGTGTACTTGGATGTTAGCTCTCAAGACCACATTTAAGAAAACTAAATGTAAAGAAATCTATGATGCTCTTATCTGATTTAGATGTACTTTCTTGCCATCCTAGCCATCCATTGCAGGAATTTTATGTCACATAACTGGTGTAAATTATAATAGTTATTACAGTTTAAATTTCCTTTACCATGCACATCAGGAAGCTTATATTTCCAACAAAGTAAAAAACCTGTACAGATTATAAAATTTAAAAAACTTAATTTGGATATTTCTTGTTGCAGTCATTCAAATACATCTATGTCTTGTCCCAACAAACTTCCACTTGTCACGTGTAAAGTTATTTTTGTTTTCTCTCACTAATGCTTCTGGGAATTGGCTTGTGAATTCTTGATTTATGTTTCTTTACAAGGTCAAGATTTTTGTGAGGTATGTTAGAAACCACATTTTGGGTGGGTGAAGGGTTCCTGAATGATCATTCTATGAGCCTTGACATGGGTAGCAGCAGTCTTGTGGGTGTGGTAAGATGCGGCTTATGTGGAATTACTTCCTCATATAGCTTACCTTTGCTTTTCACTAACTTATAGATAAGTGCCTCTCACATTGATATGCCCTGAGCTCTGTGTTTCTTTGTTCTATGAATATCCTTCCCTAGAAAGGGCTATGACAGAGCTCTCCAGTCTGTTTATGGCAACATCTCACTATTGAATAGTTAAGAGCTTGCTATAGATAAATGTAAAGGGGCTTAACATTTTGCATATAGTACCAAGACATGCAACTGTGGCAACAAGCCACTGCATTAGGATATGCAGATTGTTCTCATAAAGTGCAATTAATCCTCAGTTTCCAAAATGTCTAAAGTCTTTATAACTAAAGTAGGGGTGCAGTTCTTACAAAATCATTAATAATACTTAAAAATCTGTAATATGTGATACAATGCAGTCATTTTCTTTACTCAAAACAATAAAACTAAAATATAACTGTTACTACAAAAAACGAAGGCACTACATGGCATTGGCACTATTTGATAAACACACAATTTCATATATTTTAGGTCTTTTAAAGTCTTTATGTATCCTAAATGTGAAACAAATGTTCACACACACAGCTCCAAATACTCTATTAGAAAAATTCACAAATACTTTCACAGATGAGTTAAAAAACACTGCTAACACAATATAAAAACTTGAAGAAAATATTTTTTTGTTCATGTTGCAATGAGACTCAGGGTATACTTTTCCAAGTGTAAGGATGATATATTAATGAAACAAGTTCTGTATAAAAGACCATGTGAATTTAAAACCAATCAAAATTGATATTATTAGACAGTAGTTGCTTTTAATTATGAACCAGCTACTATCTAACTAGTTTTTCATTCTAAATGCAGATGTGCAGAGACTCCACAATAAAGTGCAAATAATTATCTAACATGAAATTGTTTCGTAATGTAGTGTGTGTATATTCAGAGAATATTTTTATCCAAGTACAAGTACCATGTAATGGAACCCTTACACTGGAGAAGGTTAAACCTTTAATGTACAATTTCAACAGGACATTCAATTCGTGCATGACACAAGAGATTATTTCTTAGAAAGTATGTTCCTGTTTACATAACAAAAATGTTCAAACTTTTCCAGATACAAAAGTCATATGCACTTGTCAAATTTGATACCAACTTCTTTTCTGAGACATTATGCTCACAAAAACTTTAACGCCACTACCCCAGCTTATAAAAATAGTTAATGTATTAATATCTTAAGAAAGACAATTAAAAATATATACAAAATCAGCTATAATTTTTATACCTCACATCTGACAAAGCTTAAACATCTAACTTAACACTGCATTTCCACATACTTCACATTAGTAAATATGTAACTTAGCATTGCTGTTCAACATATTTAATGTAGTAAAACAATTAACACTGCTGTTCCACTTATCCGACATTATAAAACACCTAACTGAACAATGCTGTTACTCACATCTGACATATAAAACATTTAACTTTACACATCTGACATAGTAAAACCATTAACTTAAAATTGTTTTAAACATCTGACTTTAAAAATATGTCTGACTTAACTCTGCTGCTCCACACATCTGACATAATTAACCACTTGACCTTACACTGCTGTTCCACACACCTGACATAGTAAAACACCTTACTTATCATTGCAAGTCTTATAATAAATGTCTTCAAATAACCACAGTAAATTAAAGAAAAAATAAGTAGAGAGATTCAATCCTTACAAAATAATTTTATTCAGGTCATATCATTGAAATACAAAAATCAATAAAAACTTCCAAAAAGCATAAAATGATATATGGATACATAAAGATCATGCCCTGTTTGACAATCTTTGAAAATTAATTAGAAATATGACCAGTATGAAATTCTACGTAACTCTGCTAATTTAAAAAATCTATAATTTACTTTATAAAAACACAGCAGGTTAATAATGCCTAAAAAAATCTTAAACTCTTCTAAATTTAAACTGACTGCACTATTTGTAAATAATTAAAACAATCGAAATCCCACATAGGATAATCTATGCTTTTATCTCATTAATGAAATAAATGGATTACTACTAACATCCATTAAGATCTTTTGATGAAAATTTATGCAAGTTTAAAAATACATGTATTTGGGAAACAGAGATTTTAAAATGAAGAGTCACGCAAACTTATGTTTGAAAACTCGCTATTGTGTGTTTCCTTATGCACAGCATACTTATGACGAACCAAGTTGGTTTTCCAGTTAAAAACTTTGTGACAAATGTCACATTCAAACTCAGGACAGGTGCCTTCATGCAGAGCTAGATGCTTTCTAAGATATGACCGAGTATTCAAATATTTATTACAAATGTGACAGTGGACTCCTTGCTTGGACACTGTATGACTTGTAACTGCTCTTGTAGCCAATCTTTGCTCACCTAAAAATAACAAGTTAAATAGCATTTAATATTTAATGTAACCAAAAATTAGACACATTTTCAAGAAGCAACTATCACACAAATTTAGCTACACAACAATGCATGAGAGTCAACTGTATGACAAGTATGATTTCTGTGCTTTTTCAAAAAAGTATCATGTTTGATTTTAGTAAAGATTTATAAAAGATGTAATGTTAGAGTAAATCCTGATTAAAAACTATTCATTTCTCAATTGTGACTCCTTTAAAACTTTTAGATAACATTTTGAACTAGGATTTTTTTTCTTTTTCAAATTTGTGTAGTAAGAACATATTAAAATAGAAATATACAAACAATTACATGGGGTATTACCAAGGCATCTTTTCTCACTTGCAGAATTCTCAGATATCAAAATATACCAGAAAGCTATGTCGCCAAATAATACCATTCAAATTGTACCAATGCTAACTAATATCACTAAATGTATAAATATTCACAATTCTGGTTTTTAAAATGATACAATAATTTAAAAAAACATTAAGATTTATTTTAATAGACATGTTTTCCAGAATATGATCAGCTTTGACAAAAAAAAAAAAGTCAGACATACATGTTATACATCTCATGCACCAAAATATCTACAAAAAGTAAAATATAACTATTAGGATTTTGCTTTTATTTAACAGTGAACACAATCAACCATTAAGTGATCAATATTCATTTTTGCTTCATGAAATCATAAACAAAAAATTAAAAGTGTTTCGACCCAAACATATTTGGCAACACTGGGCTCTTCTAATTTGTGTGGAGGACAAAATCTAATTATAATTAAAAAATGAAAAGGAGATTAAGCCTATGTCAGACCTCGCACACAAAGAAAGATACAAACATGTTGACTCATACGTCCCCTCACATACTTGGTGCCATCCAGAGTAGGCCAATATTCAATGGCTCTGCTAGGTTCATACCCCTCAAATTCAGGCTCCTTAATCTTAAGAGTAGTTAATCTTGCAAAATGTCCCCATTATGCCTTCTTCTTAAGGAGTCCTTGATAACAGGAAGAAAACACTTGTTTTGCCTCTGCTGCTGAAAAACTGAATGTAAACATTATTTTCACCAAAAATGCTGTGAAACTGAATGTGGGCAGGCTATTTATGAAACAAGACCATTATAAGTTATTACACGAAAAAATTATAAATCTTTATTATTTAATTCAAATTTCATAAATTCTATTTTAATTTTTAGGCAAAACATTTATCACTTTTCATCATACACTTTTTCCATCAAAAAGTTGTATGTCTGTCAGTAAAATGCCACTGGTAACTCAGTTTTGACTAAATGATGCATACTGCATTTTGTATCTCAGTTCTTCATATGTATGTGTGTGTGTGTGTACACACATTCATTCCTCCATTTTATAGTTTCTAGTCATTATAATATTACTATACAGCATGTATAATACCTCATGCACAAACTGATAAAGCTATTTTTAATTTTATCTATTCATCTCTGAGGTGCCACTCAAACTTTGTTAGGCTCTTACTGTAAAAACACATTTAGTACTGTGTGAACAAGGGTTTGTGAATTAAGTGGATATGCATATAGTTTTGGCTTGAGTTTTAAAAGCATACATTTTTAAATGTTTATATGTATGGACTATACTTCTGCAGTTAAGAATATTCAAAAATGTGTTTGGTTTCCCAAAAGTATACCTAAAATGTTTTTCTAGAAATAAAATCAACAATGTGGGGAAAGAAAATTGTCCAATGGGTAAAGTATAGTGGTTAAACTTATTGTATTGAATTCCACAACCCTGACATATCACATATCAATATCACACCTTAAACAAACAATTCAATAATTTCTAAAGCTATAAATGACAGCTTTTTAAATTTTTAAGAAAGGTGATGTACAAACAATCTACTGTAGTGACACCCTCTTTAAATGTGTGATATAAAGAAACAGTGTATTAACAACAGGAAAACTACTGTAGTTACCCCCCTCTGTAAGCATTTGATACAAATACTGTAGTCACAAAAAACAAGCAACTGTAATGACATACTTTGTATGTTTGATGTAAAGAAACACTAGTAACAATAAGCAAACTACTTTAATGACCCCCTCTATATGTGTTTGATATAAAGAAACACTAATAACAACAAGTAAGTTACTTTAATGACTTCCTCTACATGTGTTTGATATAAAGAAACACCAATAACAACAGGTAAGAAACACTATAAAGAAACAGTATTGTAGCAACAGGCAAACTACAGTTGAAGACACCCTTTGTGCATGTTTGATATAAAAAAAAATGTAGTTACAACAGGCAAGTTACTTTAATGACACCCTCTATACGTGTTTAATATAAGGAAATCCTGTAGTAACAACAGGCAAGCTGCCTTAGTTACACTCTCTCTCTATATATATATATATATATATATATATATGATTGATAATAAAAAACACTGTAGTAAAAACAAGCAAACTACTGTAATAACAAAAAGCAAATTACTGGGCAGACACCTTTTGTGTGTGCTTGATTTTAAATAAAAACTGTAGTAACAAAAGGCAAACTAATGAAGTGACATTCACTGTATTTGTTTAATATTAAGAAACATTGTACTAACAATGGGCAAACTACTGTAGTGACACCTTCGATATGTCGTAGATGACACTCTCTGTACACATTTGATATCAAGTTGTATACAATCCACAACTTGCCTACTTGGTATTCATAATGTTTCTTTACATTTTTCTGTTCTATTTTCACATTAATGCTACTTATGATTATTATGTTTAACTGGTATTTATCACATTTACCTGGTACTAAGAAACATCCTACAGACTTCATAAAAAACCATGTTGAATTTTTTTATTAGAAAAATTATAGAACAACAAACAATATTTACAGATCACATAACTGAAGCAAAGTTGTTATAGAGAAGGTTGAAGAGAATGAAGAAACCTTAACAAGAAATAGAAACATCAGCAGTGATAAACATTTTTAATCTGTAATTGTGTCAGTATATCTAAAGAAATCCTAATATACTGAAACTTAAGGTAGACCTCAAAGCATGTTCAGTCTCAATGTATCTAACAAAAAATATACAATGCAGTAGCTCAATAGAACTGCATGTGAAAACATCCACTGTCTTGTGTGCAGTAACAGGGAAGTATGGTTACAACAAGTACAAAGTTTTAAAACAAAAATGCTGGTGTAAACAAAATGGTGTCTGACTGATCATTAAGTTTTGTTTTCTTAAATTGAGCATGGGAAATTAATGATCTATTCTATGCATCATCATTTAAGCAGCCACCACACTTTAGAATCTAAGTATTTATTGTAATTAGTTATTAGCATCAGTTATTAATGCTTGTGTAAAACGACTAGTGATTTTTTAATAATGCACTAACAAATAATACCTTTTTTGAAGCCTAAAATATCTATAATCCTTTTACATCAGAGAAAACAACTAATAAACATATGTGAAATACAAAAATTAATGAAAGGATTTCAAAATAGATGTTATTTCTTGTAGTTCTTGATAAGCAGAAACATTACAGTAACTAAGATTTCAATGCATGTAAGTCTGAAAGAGATAAAGTAAAATTAACTTCTGCAATAACTGTAAATTGTTTACTATTTTTTACTTCCTTGTATTTCTATCACAAGATACACATTTCATTGTTTCTGTGATTCATGTATTAGTTCTCATCTATTGACTTCCTGATAAAAACAATATTAAAATGTTCAGTAGAGGGACATTTCTATTGAAACTCAGTTAAATACAAATACAGCCTAAAAGCTCTGGATTGACAATTTACAAACATTAAATCTGACTGGTAAACACCATGAGCAGCAGCATGTGGCAGAGGTTTCATCAATGGACAAAATGTTAATAAAATGCAAACAAATTAACAGCATTGCATTTCTAAAATGTAAAACCTACTGATTAAAATTATGTAATGTTTTCCACTCTGTGCAATGTGAAAAATGTTGCACTGTTCCAGACATCCTCTTAGAAAAACAAATACAAAAAAAAACCTGATGTGTATATCCAAAAGCCATAGGAGATGGTAAAAAGAAGTGAATTAGCCTTTTGTAGACCATTCCCACCCCCTCCTATTGAGAACTTAGTTTAAATACTAGGTTTTTACTTTGGGCTAAGTAGATGTTTAACTGTTAAAAAATGAGTTACAATTATTCATTTCCCTTCATTGATTACAAAGTGTTTGAGTAACTGCTTAGTTATAGTCTCCAACATAGTTGTAAACGTACTTATGAACACATAAAACAATAATGAATTGTCTGGAAGAACAAGTCTGCAAAAGTGTACACAGTATTGTTGCAATGGGTGACTAATAAATGAATAAATCTTTCATTGTTTCTAAATGTTGAACAATGCACAAGCTTAAAATATAGCTTTGAGATATCCAGCATCCCATGTACCACTGTGCATGTCGATAGTTTTCAGGTCTTAGGCATTAGATACTGTAAATGGCACATTACTGTTTGCATATTAAACTTAGTTAATCTGAAATAATGTTATATCAAATATAATTGTCTTGATACAATATGTAGAAAAGGCATCACAGTTGGAAATGTGTATTTTTAAAAAGCGTGTGTTTAACAAACAATTTTTTTAAAGGCTAGTGTGATCTCTGGCATAAGATACAGGGTACTGGCTACTAGTTGAAAGTAATGAAGTAAAGCATGACATCTTTGAGACTATAAAGAAACAGTGGAAGCAAATACTGACTGATATTCTCAAAAAAAAAAAGAAAAAAAAAAAGAAAAGAATTTTAGCATGCAAGCTTGAATGATATACTTTCATATATATTAAATAAGACTATACGAAGAAGCACTAAATGTTAATGATTAAATTTTTATATTTCAAGTTGAATTAATGATATTAAGTATAAATAAAAAAACATAAACTAAAATAATTTTATTTGCAATGGTTTTGAAACATGTCAATGTTAATATCTTAGACTTATGGCCAGTACAATATTAATATTCAAAGTGAATAAAGAAAAGTGTCTTCAAGAAATCACACAAACATGTACACGTATCAACACGAGAGAAAAGAAAAGAACAAAATAAATATTTTGCAGTGATGGAGACAGTTAAATTATCAATAAATAAACAAAGGTTAGTAGTGTTCTTTTTATCTTAAGAACAATACTGAAAAAGTACTAAATTCTTACAAGAGGAACATTTGTAAAAAAGTTTGTTTTTTTAAGTACTAAAACTTGATATGATATCAATACCACAAACCGAAATGATGGAGACAGTATAAAAGATTATTGTGAAACTCTTACTTTTAATTTTATAGTCTTTGGGTTACACATACTTCATCACAGTAAGTGTGTGGAAAACAACAAGATAAACATTTAATACTTTTTCAATGTGCCAGTTATTAAACTCACTGAAGTAGACTCTGTTTGGCCCTTTTCTTCAACCTTTTGCCGAAATGCTCTAACTAGATCACACAGCCTAGTTCTTTTAACGCCACAGCTTGCTGAGGCTTCTCGATATGACATGCCTTTATCTACAACAGCATGAATAGCAAAAATCATTTGGTCGAGAGTCCAGGATCGATTGCTGCTGTCTTTTGAGCAAGTAACTTGAACAAAATCATAAATATCTGAAAAAAAAAAGAAATGAAATTAAAACATTTATTTTATTCTCATGATATTAACTCAAATTCCTTTTGAAGCCAATTACTTAAAACATCTATTTGAATGGACTAAATGATACATAAAATTACAAAAACAAGTTTGAATAAAAAGTAATTTTTAATGACAAAAAAATAAAAAACTGCACAATATTATAATTTATTACACTGACACTGAAATAAGTCATATATTTCAGACATGTGTCTCAGAACCAAGGCTTAATTTTTTTAATTTTTTTTTTGTAGAGATAGAAGCAGGTTTGGAATATTATGTATATAAAATGCATATATATTAAACCAACTACTTGATTATATCACTATATGTGAACCAAATGTGTATATACATTTAGTGTTGTTAAAGTTTTTCTTATGTACAATTCTGCTACAGCCACCCATAATCTTTAATCTGTATACAGGAACAAAAAAACAAAAATACCTACATAGTAAACTACACACTAATTCACACTATACAATAAACCCACACACCTGAAGTCTGTGTCATAAACTAGATAAGTTACCTACAATGATTTATCAAGATCTAAAAATTACCATCCAATGAAAAGAAAATTCCTGTGCTTGGTAGTGTTTCCAATCAGCAAAGAAAACCCAGGATACTATAACATATCCTGTGTTAATTTTTTTATTTCCTTTTTTTCATATTTTTAGTTGTAAAACTTTATCATATACTTGATGTCTGTTATTTTTTCCACAATTCATAGCATGTTGAAGAAAAATATTTTCAAGTAACTTTTCATGGTGTAATAAGCTGGTTGTACAAAGACACTAAGATCAAGATAAAAAAAATGTTTGTCAATTGATAGTCACTGCTTCTGCAAGAACAACCATACAAAACTTTCTTAACCTGAAAATCATAATGCTTTTTTTTTTAGTCAAACAGATATCTATAGATACTTTTTAATGAGAACATTTTCACGAAAGTACATAAAATCAGATTCTAACCTTTGTTCACTACAGTTCATGCATTTCTCTCAAAAATGGTTGATATGGAACTTTCATTACTCTAAGTTTGGAAACATAACTTGTTTTGGAAGACAATATACCATACGTTGAAATTTATCTATCTAAAATTAATTTCTGGTACCCAGATTTGTTTGAAAATGTGAGTGAAGCCTGTATTAAATGAAATAGAAGTCACATTTTTGTAAGAGACATTATTAAAATTACATCAAATCAAAACTCTAAAATAACCCTCAACTGAAAATTTAACAGTTTTGAGTATTTTACAAGAGTATCAATTTTCACGTACTTATTCAGAAGTTTGGTGGTTGCTTAGTTCTTGAACAAAGTTGTGGAATAAATTGAAATATATAAAAAAAACTGCATTTCTTTTCGTTTAATACAATGTTTCCCAACAATATTGAGATCATGTATTAACCCCAGTTGTCTCAGTGGCTTAAGATAAGATATTAATCTTGTCCAAATAAGAAACCTAATTTTTAATAGTGTTCCAGGCCTTCAAACCAGGTGAATGCTTAATTGCAAGTAATGCTCTAGGTCTTCAATCCAAGTGAACTAAGAAGACTATTTTTAAATAATGTTCTGGGTCTTCAAACAAGGTGTATTAAGGAGCTAACTTTAAATACTGTCTTAGGTCTTTAAACCCAATGAACTAAGCAACTAAATTAAAAATATTGTTCTACATTTACAAATTAGATGAAATAAGGGGCTAAATCTAAAATACTGTTCTAGGTCTTCAAACCAGATGAATTATAGAGATTAATTTTAAATACTATTTGAGCAAAACAGGATAAGAAATTGTTTGAAGTGTACTCTCAGGCTCAAGAAGATATACTCAGAGGCTAAAAACTGAAAGTTTATCCCATTTAACTCAAGAGTTTAAGATCAGGGACTAATAAAAACTTTAAAAGGGGCTTAGGGTAAAGTCTTAATGGAAACTAACTTAGGAATTTACAATCTGGACTAATAGGGACCTTTACAAAGGTTTAGGCTCAAGTTGTGATGCAAAGTAACTCAAGGATTTAAGATCATCAGTTGATCCAAACATACTTGGAGCAATCAGATCAATGATTGATTCAATCTTTTCAGAGCCAAAGTTTGGATACATCTCTCATGCAAAACCCAAAAATAGGTAATTACACAGAAATTAACTTTGCCCAAAATATATTTGAAGCATACATTTTATTACAAAGCAAAGAAGACCTGACAAATAACAAAGTTAGTGACAAGCATTTACTTCCATTATTTTCTTTCTCTTCACTGACTATGTTGCTTAAACAGTCAGATGTACAGTAATTAATTTGTTTCTTTTTTGAACCTATATTATTTCCTAAACTTAAGATAAATATTCTTGAATCTTCTTGCAACACTTTCAGATATTTCTTTTTTTAACATCTTAGTAAAATACTCTGCTGCTTTGGTGTTTCCATGTTGAGCTGCATACTGCCCAATCAGGAACCGTTCTTCACTGCTGTATGTGTTATATGGGCGTCGTCGTCTTACTCGTAGAAGTTCCAGCACACTACCATCAACATCTTCAATAATTTTTGGTTTAGGGATGGCACATGAAGTTTGATAAATTTCTTCTGTTCCTGGAAGATGGTTCTAAAATAATTATCCTTGAATATTAATTTATGTAGAAGCTCTTTAAAAACAAACTAACCTTATGAGACATATAAATGAAACTCCATAAACATACAAAAAACAAGTAACTTTTCATCCCATCATAAGTGTTCCAACACAACCTTTCCAATCATATACAAGTACTTAATATATTAAATGTATCATGGATTTCATGAAAATGTTAGTAAGTGGATGACAATGATATTATGTATATATAATCTGTTTTACATATAAATTCTCATAGTACCAAAGCCACATTTAGTTATAAACATGTATAACTTAAAACATACACTAATTTTACTTAATATTATGTTAAATTGAAACTGTTTAGATATACAAAAATGGATTAAAATATATTTGCTTCAAAGAGAATAATTTCAAAAACAAAAACATTTATACATCACTATGTTCTGGATTTCCTTTCTCTATATGTTGGATGCATATTGTTGGTTTTAAGTGATTATTAAATGTAATTTTTTGCAGAAATATTACTGTTTGATTGATTTTTAAATTGTAATGTTTCTTTATAAAAATCATTGTTGAATATGACTTTGAAAGGTAGTGTTTCTTTAGAACCATCATTGTTGAGTAGATACAGATGATTTTGAAAGTAATATTACCAATATGCTGTTAATCTCAATGTGATTTATAGTTTTACACTGTTAAATGGGTAGAGTTGGTCTTACAGTGACTTATTGTACTGTCAGCTCAGTGTGAGTTCTAGCTTTATAGCATTGAACGATCATAATTAGTCATATAATTACACTTCTCACCACTAAAATGGAGATAGAATTTGTTCAAAGAATATGAGTAACACCTTTCAGAAACTTGAAGACTCTTCTGAACTATATTCCAGTAACAGCAATATATCATTCAAACAGAAAGGAGACCACTGACAGTAAATGGTAAAGCACAGCTATTGGGCAACCTGGTAAGAACTCCAAGTGATGTTGTACATGAAATGGCATGTGCTCTGAGGGAACAGGAAAAACATGGAAGAGAAGTGACATGAGTAACTGGTAGAAGACAGGAGAAAAGTGAGGGGAATATGGAAGTGAAGCAAACATATAAGTATGTGACAAGTACAGATGCTACTTATATCAAATTGAATTGGCAATATAAACAGAACTTTGAGATTATTGGAAAAATGAAAACCTGTGCTAAACTCCTCAAGTGTAAAATAATAGTGTAAGTAATATTAAAATAATTTTATTTACAATGTTAAAAATTAGAAAAAAGTGATACACAATAATTAATAATAACAAGGTTTAAAGAAATTTGATGCTGCTGGCTGGTGGTTTGGAATTAGGTATGGTGAAATGGTACATGGACTGCTTACAGAAACATATGCTGTGCTGGAACTCCAGAACTGGAAGAAGGAAAACTTTATGCTTTGGCCAGTGTTAACCTTTTCTAGCATGTAAATAAATAAAATTATACTTACTGATTGTACTGTTGACTCTCAGTGTAGTTTCTAGCTTTACAATTTTGAATGAGTATATTTGGTCTTTAATTATAATCACTAATTGTACTGTTTACTCTTGGTGTGATTTCTTGCTTTATATTGTTGCATGAATATAGTCATTCTTAGAAGAATACTTAATGACTCTTCTGTTGACTTACAGTTCTCTTTTTTAGTAAATATGTACTTTGTGTTTTATATTTCTCTTAGTACCCTTTAGTATTAGTGGATTTGCAAACAATACAAGTTTAACAAAATAGGATTTTATTTATTTTATGCATAAGATTTATGTACAAAAGAAAATGGTAAACATAATAGGTTAAACAAAGGAGCATATTGAAATGATCAGTTTAACACAACTATATATGTGTATATATATATATACACTTAGTGGTCACAAGTAAATAGACACCTAATTTTTCGTCATTTAACCGATTTATGCTAACTAATTTGTGTTCACAGAGCACTATATAAATGAAAATGATCCACACACTAATTATCTTGTGCTACAACATGTCTAGAACTCAAGGTTTTCTCGAATTGTCAGATTTTGTTAGATGAAGGATAGTTGGTCAAGCAGATGCTGGAATAAGTCAGTGGCAAATTTTGCAGAATTTGGGAATTCTGCTTTCGACAGTCAACAGAATCATTGTGCAGTTCAGGAAACACGGCAAGGAAACAATTGAGCAGCGTCCGGGTCGTCCTGGTCCATCGGAGAGGACAAAAAGGGCTGTCAAGAGGGGCATTGAAATGGAT